GAAGAGGGGATTGAGATAAGCCTAGGTAAGCAGAGCTGACCTGAAAACCTGATTTATGACTCTGAAGTATTTCACAAGAACATCGCAGCTTTTTGCAAGCTGTAGATGGGAATGACCTGTGGCATTCAGGCAAAAGAAGAAGAAAGCCAACCTAAATGAAAACATTATCCATCAATGGGTGAAAATCATTCTTCATCAGGAAAAAAAAAAAAAAGCTCCTATTTCCAATTCTCAGCCCAGAGAGTACCAGAAGTTACAAACACTCGGAGTTTCTCCCTAGGCTATAATTCGTCGTATTTTAAACCCTGCTATGGACATGAGGCAACCTTATCCTGCCATGGCAGCCTCTGCTTGAGGACTTGCCCCAGTGTCACAGCCCAGATCAAAGAGCAGAAATCACCTTCTGACCAGCTCGGCTGGGGGGGTACAAGCCCAGGAGAGGACAAGGGAAGGGTGACAGGCTCCCTGGTGAGCTGTTGCCATGTTTGCTGGCAGCCCCAGCCCCAGCCAGGTACTCTGGGCTGCACTGCTGTGAAGGGTCTCTACATTGGGGACCCCCAAGGAAGGCAGCTGGCACAGCAGATGGGTCTCTCCAGGTCACATCATCCTCCTCCACCATGGTCAAGGGCAGAGGACACATCCTACACCCCAGCAAATGTCTCCCCCTTCTCACCCTGCTCACTGCCGGCTGGCTGGCAGTGCACCCTCGCCTCCCTTCTCTTGCCCTTTGAGGACAAAGCATGGTGCAGACCTGGCTTCCACCTCACTGGGCCTCCAGCCAGAGAAGCCACCACTGTCCTTGCTCATCCACAACGATCCAACCTTTTGGCACCTTTGCTAATGAAACTGAAGAAACACCGCCTCCCCCGCGGACAGAGAGCAGCTGCTTGTTTAATCAGGAATTTGCCTTGCCGGCTAAATGCTATATTTTTAGAGGAGTTTCCCCTAGGCATTCTTATAATTTATTTTTTATGTTTATGGTTAATTTCTGCTTAAGTAAGCCTGCAACTTCCTACAACAATTCCAGCGTAACTAATCGCAAGTGAACATAACCAAAGTAACGAGTGCTAATGAGGCCCTACAGAACCGTAATGGGCTCCGCAGCCACAGCACCGCCCCAGCACAGGGCCCCACTGTGCCTTTCTCAGTGCCACCTACTATCTATGAACTCTCCCAAGGGCTCAGGAGAAGGGTTTTCGAAGGCCTTTGGAAGCACGTGAAGGGAGAGACATCCCCTTATTCCACAGCACCCATGGCAAGGGAGAAGACAAGGCAAGGGCAAATGGCTCAGGAGCTCAGAGTTGGCAACAGCAGTGGGGAGGATTAGAGATGCGAGGGTGATGTCCATGGTCTAGCAGCCTCTCTGAGTCTAACACCAGTGCTTGCTGGTGATCGGAGGCCAAGGAGGACGATGGAAAACCTCAGGCAGAGGACCCAGGTGCAGGCTCGCTTGCTCCTGCTTGTCCTCCCTGCCTCCTCCAGGCAGCCAAACCTGCCGGTGCTGGGCGCACACTGTGACAGCAAACACCTCGGATTGTCACAAGGATGCGAAGGACACGGTCGGGCTGTGGGGACAGAGGAGGGCATGTAACTCTGGACAGGTCAGGTGGAGAAAGAGGGCAACCGAGTCGCTGCTAATATCTCAGAGGCAACAGCTTCCCCTGTGCTTCTTCGTGCTCCTGCCGAGCACTTGCCTTATCAGCGCCGTGCAGATCCCCTCACAGCAGGCTGCTAACCACATTAACAGACAAGGGCTCAGCCAAGCACCCTGCTCCGAGGGATACGCTCATTTGCACTGGCCTGTAGGCCACATTTAGCAGATTATCTGGGGATGTCTGCTTCACAGGATTAAGTATTTCCCATATTAAGATGTTAATCTTACTCTGCTCTCTCCGTGTGCACACCATGCCCTGTCTTCACCCCACACATCCACCTTCCCTGTCACCTGAGTATCCAATATAACTCACACTGCACGATTCTTCAGTAGCCACAGAAAAATTGCCTTATACACAGCCCATGGCTAATGGATAAGGATCCCTCAGGGCATCCGTTTGAACCCTTGGGGAGATCTAAGATTCAGGCTGCTTCCCACGGGATCAGATGCATCCTGGTCCATGGAGGACAGCAGCATCACCAGTACCTCTTCACCTGACCAGGGGGCTCAGATGCTTCCCCAGGCACCACTGATACAAGCACCGCAGTGGGAAAAGCAGAGCCTGCTTTTCATGGCCAGATGGACCCTGGCGGTCTTTCCAAGCACTAATGACCCCAGGCAGAATCTCAGGCACTCCTTTATTTCTATGTCCTTTCTCATTTGAAAACAAAAGGAAAAAAAAAAGGTAGAAGAAAAAACACCATGAAAAATAAAATGTGTCTTTAATCTCATCCCCATATTCCTGAAACTTATGGATTGACTTCTCAGGCTGCAATGCAAATTTTGGATTCTGAAGGTTGGGGGGAAATTTCAAAGATTTACATGTTTCCTGTCTAAAGAGACATCGTGCCTTCTCTGTCTGGGGAGATGCTGCGTAGGGGCACATGCCACAGACTGCAGGAGGGTGTGTACTGAATGCAATATAAACTCGTTTCTCTTGAATGCAACATAAACTCCTTTCACTATATTCCAAATCACCAAGAATCACCATATTCACCAAAATTCCAGGCACCATAAATTGGTGAGTGGTAGGTTGTGCTGCTGTGATCTAACCACAGAGTCTTTAAAAAAGTGCTGTGAAAAATACCGTATCTGGAAGTTTCAAGTCTACTCATTTCAGATTTAATCCATCAGCCTGCTCAGTGAGTAATGCAGAATATACTGAGTCGTATTTCAAGCCAGGCATCACAGGTTCCAATATTTCATCCCGAAGTCCTATCACAAATAAGAATATCCAACAAAACCTTTGGTTTTCTTGCTTATCTGACCTGCCTAGCTCATCCAAAGCTTTACAGCAATTAGGTCATTTAGGAACACAGGCTTCAGAGGTTTCCTGGCTCATACATAACCAGATCAATAAACCACATGCCCAATTCATTGGACACCAAACTATTTTGAAACAAAGCAAGTCACAAGCCTTTCAGCAGGCTCCCACTTTGCCTAAAAGCAGCCGAGCAGGCTTTCTACCTCAGCTATATTCTGGAGAGAGCTGTGGACAATTTTATGTTAGGTTTAATTTACTTTCCCAGTGGGACAAACCTCTTATGGATGTTACTGGAAAATGAAAGCATAATTTCGTTTGAAATTAGAATGACACGTATAAAAATATCTGTTGCTAGAGCTTCTAATATGATTCACACAGAAAGCCAACAGAAAAAAATATCTTCTGCATTAAACTTCATTCATTCATTTCTACCAGTCATTTCTACCAGCCAGCAGTGTATGCAAGTGTAATGGCTCCGTCCCCCATCACACTGCAGGTCTCTTCCAAAAGGGCCTTTTCCTGGGTTTCTAAATGATTCCTGACCCTCAGCTCACAGATGAGCACCAACCTGTAGGTCCTTAGGAGGCTAAAGCCGTCTGTGCCACAGCTGGGAGGAGCGTGGTCCCTGTGGGAGGGAGCTGACTGCAGAGCAGCAGCTTGGAAAATGTCGACAGGCAGCAGGGATTGAAGGGCCCCCATCATCATGGCCCGGGGGAAAATCCCCCCTTGGTCCTACCGCTGGTGAACTGCCTGCCACCAGCCATGCAGGAGGAGCCCAAGAGCCACCCAGCTCAGAGGATCTCCTGATCTGCTTTGGAGACTGGTCTCTGAGACAGATTTGGGGTTTTTGCCAATTGCTGGCTGTGGTCAATCGTCATCTTTGCAGAAGGGCAGGGAAGAAATCCTCCGGAGAACAGGAATCAGCACTACCTCCCACAGACAACTAACTATATGCTGTCTGTGTGTGGAAGGCAAGAGCTGACACTGTGCCAAAGGAAAGAGTCTCCTCCAACTCTTCCTGCACCCTTTCCTGCAGAAACCCATACACCACCTACACCTTGTGCTTGCCCAGGAGCCCCATGGCCCCAGCCCCATCAGGCAGGGAGCTGAAGCATCTCCTCTTCCTCAGCTCCTCGCAGCAAAGAGTGGGTGATATGGAGACCCGGCCACCTCTCCTAGTGCCACCAGCCTGCCCGAGGAGGGACCGAGCCTGGCACCTCGCTGCTCCGCTGCCAGCAGTAGGTGAAGTCCTGGGGCCACCTGGTGGCTAATTGCGTGGACTGTTTTAATTCCTCTCCCCGTGATGGGTGCTCCACGCAGCTCCAGAAGACCGGGCCATACCTGTGGTGCCCACCAGTGTCCATGGATCCTCTGGAAAGACGAGCTCTGCTCACTCACTCAGCTCTTCCTAGGCTCCGGCTTCCTCAGGGTTACCCAAGAGTCATCCAGCTTCCCAGGGCTTCGTGTCCTCTGGCTGCCCTCCTCAGATGCTGAGGCTACACCATCTAAAACAGCAGCTCTTTGATGCGTGGTGGGTTTGTTTGTTGGTTTTTTTTTGTGGAAATGAGGGGCCCTGTTAGTGGCAGTGTTGACATAACATACAGGTCCTGTCTCAGCCATGCAGCCCTTTTTCCATACGCAGCAAAAACAAAATAACTGGCTGCAGAGCACCTCGAAGCCAGTCAGCGCAGAAACTGCCTAGACCTGCAGATGCCAGGGGCAGTTTGCCGTGGTCCTTCACTTGCGTGAAGAAACACCAGCCCACACACCTCCCTCAGGCCCCAGTGACTCCCCAGCCAGGTGACTCCTTTGGCTGGGAGCTGGCAGTGGCTCCAGCAGAAGGTGGCATCACACTCTCCACCTAAGAACCCCAAGCATGCTGCTTACAGAGGCCTCCTAATCAATGTTCCCCGTTTCCCCTCCTACCCTAACCAAGCTTCCTCTTCCCTGGCCATGCTGCTGTACAAACGTGACAGCGCAACAGAGATGCAGACCAGGATGCCCAGCACAGCTGCACTAACACCCCACCAGGCGTGCCCTAGAAATTGATGCAGGTCAGACAAAACTGAGACAGAGTGTATCTAGAGGGGAAATACAAGGATTTAATGGAATTAACGGAGAAGCTCCCAAAGTCCAGACCAGAGCCACAGCTTTGAGACTCTCTGGCACTCTCCACTCCATGATCAGTCCTTCCTTTCTGCCCACCAGCAGGCTGGGGATGCTCAGGAACACCACCGGTGCTTGATCTGCCCCTTCAGAGCCCTCTCTAAGGGAGAGGATTAAGGTGCATTGCGAACTCCACACAAACCATCTCCATGGCAGCCTCTCCCTCAGCCCTTCAAATCTTCCAGGGAAGGGAGCAGAACCCAGAAATCCCTCTCTCCTCGGTGGGTGAAGAATCCTTGTGTTTTCCAACAGGTAGTAAAGGCTGCACAGAAACCGTCCTGGGGGGAGGGAGGGAGAGCCTCACAGGTCCTAGCAGTGAGATTCCAGCTCTGTCAGCATCAGGAGGCTTGATCTGGTGGAGGGAAGGGGCAGTCCCGTGCTCGGCCTGGAAGACAAGTCCTCAAGTGGGCAGGTGAGCTGGCGGAGCCTCTGGAAGGCAAAGGTAGGCATTGAGTATGGCCACGAGGGCAAAAGGTGACCTGGGCCTCCCCTTCCAGTCATGGTTATCATTCATTCAGCCAGCTATCACAACCCATTCCCGAGCACATGCAGGAGGCAGAGAACAGGCAGGGTTGTGGGTTTTCTTGGAGCAAGACTCCTGGCTGCAGTCAACGGCAGCCTCCAAATTGAGCTGAGGCACTGGAGACCATCTTTGTCCTCACCACCTAATGAGTTTATTCCTAATGGTGCTTGCAGAGAGACAAAAGCAATAAAGTAAGGACACCAAGAGGCAACAGCCAGCTTGGAGCAGCCCTGCAGCCAGGCAGAACTCAATAAAACCAACAGTTTCACTGTAGCAATGAACTCATTCAATTGATTTATTCCAGGCTCCTTACTAATTAACCCACAACACATACAAAAAAAAAAAAACCTTGCAAGGCTGGACTTCACCACGGCAGCACAGCCCTGATCCCAGAGCATCAGCCTCACCTCTCTGAGGGAACCTTTGATGGTGGAGAGCTTGTAGACGATCCAGAGAGGGATGCACACCATGGAGGAGAGGGCCAGCAGCCAGCCCAGGGTGTCCCCCCACCACGGGTACACGTACTTCTTGTTGTAGGTCAGTGGGGTGTATTTGATCAGAGAAAACAAGAAGGTCGCCTGGCAGGGTGGAAGAAACCAAGAGGAGAAGTGCCAGAAAATCAACTGTTAGTGAAAATATGTCTTCCTGGTGGCTCCACACCTGCACAGAGTTTTATGGTAACAAAGAGCTCCTCGGGACAGCAACAGAGGAGACACCAGTCAAAACAGCTTTACGAGGGCAGTCCCCATGCACAGCCCCAAGGAGCTCGTCCCAGCAGTAGACACATCTGTCACTGTTCATCTGGGCCCTTCTGCCCATTGCTTAGCCCCACACCCGACCCCAAATGTCTCACACATGTGCAGAAGAACAGGCTACACAACCCTCTACATATATGCACACCCCTCTGTATATATGTACGTATATCTCAGAGGCACCAGGCTCTGCCCATCTCCCTCCCCACACCTCTTCCCGTGGGCTCTCACCATGCAAACTGCTGGAGTGATGAAAAGCCAGCAGTATTTGATGATGGGCCACGGCCGGTAGCCGATCATGTCCTCAATGTTATCGTAGAAACGCTCAGCACCTGTGGAAGAAGGGAAGGATGGATGCCTCACTGCCACCAGGAACAAGGGCAGCAGGGTCTGCGTGTCCCAGGGAGGATGGCGAGTGGGGGCCCTGCTTCACCACCATTTGGGAGCTCCCCAGAAGATGAGGCAGTAACCTCAACATAGCCAAAAACCCTGCTGGGGAGCTCCCTGAGGAGGAGTGTGGCCATCTCTTGTGAATATCAGGGCTGAGAGAGGTGTCTCAAAAATGCTGGGGGATCTCAGATACTTGTACGCACAGGGTGGGAAATCACTTCACAACCAGCTCCACATCCCCAAGGAGGGAGGGCCTCAAAAGCAGGGGCACGTAGGAACACACTGGGGATATCTGCCAAGCAGATCCCCCAGGGCTTTGCTGGGAGGAAGCCCCCACAGCTGAGTCCATGGGCACCAAAGCACGTGTTTAGAGGGCTGCCTTGCACTGCGAAGCACTTGCCAAGAGGAGTTACGGACCGGCATGTTGAGGATGGGGAAAGCAGACTGAGAAAGCGGATCTGGGGGCCCTCCTGGTCCATACTCACCATAGACCCAGGCGATGCAGAGAGTCTCGAAGATGGCCACAAAGAGCAGGCACATGCCACTGGCAGCATAGTAATCAAAGAGCTGGAAGACATACATCCCACCCTGGGAAGGGCCAAGCGGGCAGCGAGGCGAGGTGGGGAGGGAGAGAGGGGAAAGGAGTCAGGCACAGGCCAGGAGCTCCAGCCAGAGCAGGAAACGAACTCAGCATCTTCCCCAGAGCTGCGGGCACCTCCCTCTAACTGGGGCATGGTTTGAGCCAACAGCAAAGCCACATCCCTTGTACCCAAGGCCTGATGGAGACGTGGCAGCCCTAGGAGGCTCCCCGCTGCCAGGAGCCTCTGCAGCCCTTCAGCCCAGGGCAGGACAGGAGAGGGGAAGTGGCCATCAGAGACTGTGGGGGTATTTTAGGACAAGACAGGTGTTTCCACTACCTAGTGCCACAAACCAGTGTACAAACTGGGCCTGAAGTTTCGTCCAGGCACAAGGCTGCAGGTGAAACATTATTCAGGCAACATTTTGAAAAAGCTGTCCTCTGAACACAGGAGATGCAAATTGTAAAGGGCATCGTGGCAGCACCAACCCCATGACACACAGACTGCCAGGAGGAGTCAGAGGTCTTAGAGCAGAACAGTTTTAACTCTGAGGCAAATAATCACAAGGGGAATATACATGGAAACAGTGTAATAGATACGAGACATGCTCAGTCACACTAGATTTTCCATCCATTTTCCACCTAGGTCTATACAGGAGGGAAGAGAAGGACAAAGGCTCTGCCCGAACCATGCAACAGGCCGAAGTGGTGAAGGTTTGGCTCATATAGAGATAAATCTATAACCAAAATATTGGCTGGCCAGAGCTCCAATCATCAGTCCTGGCAGGAGAGCTGTCAGGGCTGTAACTGGCATGAGGGCTGAGGGCTGGAAGCAAAAATGTGGGGAAGGGCAGGGCAGGGCAGGGCAGGGCAGCCTCCCCCAGGCACCAGGCAGCAGGATGGGGCTCATCGGTGAGTATCTGGCCCCAGCATGGACCCCACCACCCGCCAGGCCCCCAGTGAGCACCATGCGGGTGGTCTGAGCCCAAAATACCTCGGTGAGCATCACCAGCCCGACCAGGTAGGAGAGGACGGAGACCAGCAGGATGAGGGTCTCCCGGCGGTTCTTCTTGCGGAAGATGGTGGGGTACATGTCCACAAGGGCTGTGACGAGGCTCTCCACGCAGACAAACTGCAGAGAGCGAAGATCCCACCTCTGTCAGCCCATCCCGCACCTCCTCTCCAGCACCCTCTGCACTCCCACTGGCCAAGTTCAATCCCGTCCTGAAGGGACAGTGGCCCCGCGACTTTACCTGGCTGTCCAGTCCCAGCAACACCACCATCAGGAAGAAGAAGCAGGCCCAGAGCGGGGAGAAGGGCAGCATGACCACAGCCCGAGGATAGGCGATGAATGCCAGGCCAGGCCCTGCGGGGAGAAGGGCTTCAGAGCAGGCAGCAACACGGCACGGCTGGTGCAGGCCCACACGGCCACGAGCCATGCGGGAAACCCAGGCTCCTCACGGCACAGAGGAGGTCCTGAGGGCAGGAAGGGAACGGAGGCACAGCAAGCCACAGCCACATCACTGCTGCGAGGGCTGGGAGGCCACCAAGATGGGGACGTGCAGTGCAACACCACTCAGCCCGGGGCGAGTACCTGGCCCCGGGGACAACCAGCAGCCCCCCCATGACCCCACCACCCCACCACAGCCCCACTCACCCGACTCGGCCACCTCGGCGATGGGCACCCCCTGCTCGCCTGCCATGAAGCCCAGGATGGAGAAGATGGCAAAGCCGGCCACGAAGCTGGTGCCGCTGTTGAGGAAGCAGAGGGCCACGCAGTCCCTGGAGGAGGGGGCACAGCATCAGCCGGGGGGCCAGGGGTGACCCACACCCCACCCTGAGCACTGACCCATGAGATAGACTTGCTGCACATCTAAACGCCTAATTTTTTTTTCCCTCTCTCTCTTCTGATCCCTGTGGGGGAGAGTGCCAGAGATTATTTCTGTCTGAGAGGGGGGCATTTATTTTTCCTTAATAGATTTCTCAGACCAGTTACAATGTTCTGGGCTCTCAGCGCTACTAGATATCTCCTGGTCCTCGCATTATGAGGAAAAGATGAACAGAGCCATCCAATTTATTTCCTCTGATCTATTCCCTTTTGTCTCTGTTTCATCTCATTCCCATCCATCTACTTGTTAAACTAAACATTGCTTATCTATCCAATTCTTTTTTATGCTCCAGTCTCCCCGGGCCTCCTGTGGCGGCAGCCCTGGGGACAACACTAACATTTGCAGCGTCTTTCCAAAATAGTCTGCACTAAACTGAACGCACCCTTCCGGCATTTCATGGCCTGCTCTGATTCTGTTAAATGCTACTCTGCGAATCCAGTGTGATTTTCTTTGCCACTCTGTAGATCTTTAGCATCTGGGGGGCTTCACGCTCCTCCCTGCACAGGAACTAGCGCTAGTCCCGGTCTGCAAACATTTCTGGAGAAAGAGCAGAGTTCACACAGAACCCCCACACCACACGTGTAGCTCAGACTATTCCTCCCAAACCACAGCACTTTGCATGGTCAAGGACTGCCCATCACCTAACACCATTTTACACTAACTTGCATTTATTTCACATATTTTTTCTTCCTTCCTAGTGTTCCTTCCCTCTTTCTCCCAGATGTATGTATGAGGTCATTGCCTCCTTGGAAAAGCATGGGCTGGAAGATGCTCTCCAGTCACCTGGAAGGTGAGAAGGGGCATCATGCTGGGGTGTGAGATGTGGGAAATGGCCAGAGCAAAAAAGAAACCCCAGATTTTCACCCTAAAGGAAGCTGGGGAGATCTGATGATGTCCCTTATCATCCCAGAGAACGAGAAACAGCCCCTGCTCTTTGGTGCAATCTTGGAGATGGCCTCTTTGTGAGCCTCTTTACAACTTTGCTGCTCAGCAGCCCCTCCATGTCACATATCCATACTGGAGATGCACACGGACAATGCCCAAGGCCATGCAGCAGGCCAGAGTCAATCTGTTCTCTTTTCTCTTCCCACAGCTTTCTCTCTGAGAACTGCACCTGATAGAAGGGACACGAAAAGGAAGAGAGGTCCCAGCCCCGCTGCTGGAGCGGGTGGGTTAACACCTCCCTACAGCAGGTGTTAACTTCTAAGGTGAAGAGAAAGATGCCAAGCTAGGACCACATGGTGGTTTGCCAGGACCTTCCACAGCAAGGACAACAAATCTGAATTTAAAAGGTGTGGGGAGAACCCAGTACCAAGAGCAATATGGCCAGCATGAGAAAGGGTGAGAAGGGAGGCAGGTAGGTTTTCTGAGCTCTTCCTCTCACACTAGTTTTTTGACTCTAGAGATATGGCTCCAGATGCTGGGTACATCTGAGCAAAATGAGCTTATTTTCACCTGAACACTTCAACTTGAAAGTCTGATTCAGTTTGGCAGCTCGGCTGATCTCTGTTGGAGGGCTGTTCAGCATGGGCAGAGCACACAAGAAACAGGAGTCACACCTGCAGGTTTATATACAGACCACAGCTAGCATGTAGGCACCCACAGCACTGATAACTGTGCAAGACACTAGGTCCAAATGAACCTTGGGAGGATAAATTGCAAGGTGGAAGGACTCCAGTCTAGAGACATTTGATCTGACAGCTCTGCTTCCCCTTCAGCACCTATGTAAATAGGGGACATGGTGGCGTGGGGTCACAAAGCCAGTGAAGAGGATCTGGCTCTGATGGGTTTTATGCAGTGTGGAAGAGGGAATTTGTCATCTGTGACACAGACAGAAAGTTCCTGGCATTCCCCTTGTGTACAAAGCACAGAGAACTGGATTTGAGGAAAAAAACACGTGGAAAAAGTGTCCTTATGCCTTGGGTAGAAATGGAAAGCATGACACTTCAAAAGGCCAGGAGCCTCCAGCAGCTCACTGGCCTGTTTGTGCTGATGTTGAGGGAGGGGAAGGCTCAAGGCAGCAGAGCCGTGCTCCAGTTACCTGTAGCAGTTGTTATGGTATTTGTTATAGCTGCCCAGAGCTGTCAGGCATCCCAGACAAATTGCATACGAAAAGAAGATTTGAGTGCCTGCATCCATCCAGACCTGCAAGGGAGATGCAAACACAGGTGAGAAGACAAGGCCAGCACAGAGCGCAGACACTGCACTGATGGGAGGAGGCAGAGCCCCCGGGGCCACCATGAGCAGCAGGAAGATCAGTGCTGGGGTGGTCAGCAATACCCAGCGCTTGGACAAGCCTTTGCTAGGAACAGGCTACACAGTGCCAAGAGTTCCCGTGCTCTGTGAAGCACCCTGGGGGTGATAAGAGTGCCAAGGGGAAGGGATGCAGCCAGAGCCCTGCAAACCCACGGCACATACAGCTCTTCATCGTCATCTCTGTCTTCCTCAGACAAATCTGAGCTGAACGAGCCCTCACTGCCAGCAGAGAAAGGGGACACGATTTGGGTAGGCCTGGTCTCCCACTGGGTGGTACAGGTACATGCTGATGGTGGCCTGTAGCTCCAAGACCTAACTTTAAAGGATCCAAAATGTAAAAGCAAATTAACCAGGCAGGAGGGGAGTATAAGAAACAGACAGAGTTGTTTGCCCAAGACAGCTCCTAAAAGCAAATACAAGAGTGATGTTAGTGCCATGAAGCCCCTCTGAACTCCACTTCGATCTCTCTGTCAAGAGCATGTCCCGGTGCTCGGAGGCTGACATTTGTCAGTGCCAAATTTGATTCGAAAGCCCTGCCGTGTGCAGTCACTGCTGCAGCCACAGCCACCGTCTTCTGCAGAGAGCAGCAAAAGCAGGAGCCAACAGCGAGGAATGAAGCAGTGACAATTATTAATTAACCCCTCCACTGTCTAACATCTTTCTTCCTAGAGGGTTTATAAAATAGAGATAAGGCAATCATTCAGTCAATGCTGAAGTGCAGCCACCTTCTAGAGACAAGAGGGAAGGCAGTCAGGAAAGGAGAGCAGAAGGAAGTTGTTACGGGGACAAGCTTAACGCGAAGAGTCTCCAGGTGGAGCAGCAGTGGCCCTGAGATGTCTCCTGAGGAGAGCAGAAGCCAACAGAAAGCACTGCAATGGTTTCGGTGGCTCCAAGTAACACCTGTACCTTGCCATCCACGGCCTCGTGTCCCGAGGGGCAATGGGGTGCGTGAGCCAGCAGTGCCAGCAGCTAGGGCAGGCTGGGGAAGCCGCTTTCCTTGGCTGTCCTGCAAGCAGCTTGGGACATGTTCAGCCCTACCTTCTTCTCGTCAGTCACAGGGAGTCAGATCGTGCCTTTGGTTTGTAGAATGGGAAGAGGCAGACGATGAGGTTGGACGGGAACAGTTAGTTCTGGACATGAGGATTTGGAAAAAGTCATTGATCTCAGTGAATTTTACTTGTTTTAGAGGGGTGGAATAGGGAGGCAGGTTTAGAGACCAAAATGCTAGCTCATTAATGCATTTCAAAAGCATTGGGAATAAATGGGGTGTTTTGTTTTGTTTTGTTTTCATCAAATTCTAACTTGAATCCCCCTCTCTTGTGTTTTTCTGAAGCCCTTTTAGTTCCATTTGTTGAGTTAACAAGACTTTTGCCATCAAATAGTGCCCCCTGTCCTTGCCACAACATCGGACCCAGTTGCCCAGTTTCAAACAGATTTAACAGCGGGCAGAAGCCTCAAAGAAACCAGCTACCTACGAATTTCACAGCAACCAGGGAACGGGAAAGACTCAGCGTCCCCTCTGAGAGGGAATCTGCAGGGAGGAACAGTCAACCAGTGTTAAATATCAGACAAATCACACAAGCAAGAGACACGAGAAACATCCCAAGGGCAGGAAAAGAAATGGCGCTTTACCAGACACGGTAGAAGTCAAATACCAAGACAGCGAGCTTCATTAGCTCTGTGGCTCACGGAGTGGCTGCTTTCTACACCCAGCAATGCCCCTGACGTGCGGCAGAGACCAGCCTGGGGTCTGCAGGCTCCTGCTCTCTGCCTGCTCCTTCCAACACAACACCCCCGGGGTGCCTATCCCAGGGGATATCTGTGGGGAGTGTGGGGCCTGCCTCAGCACTTGTTCCCACCTGAGGCAAGGCAGCACATGAACCAGTGTAAATAAAGCTAAATGTGGCTTGTGGAGCTTATGGTCCGTAACCAGCATAACCATGAACACCAGCCTGGGCTGTATGCAGTTTTATTTCCTATTTTAAGAGGCCACTGAGGCTCTTGGGCCAAAGACCAGACACCCTTCCCTCCTTCCCAGCCCCTTGGCAGTTCCTAAATTCCTTGAGGGCTGAGAGGCTCCACCAGGACTAATGCCATGCATGCTCCTGACCCTCCTGTGACGGAGCTGAGCAGCACAACCCAGGACCTGGGGTTGGAAGAGCCCCCAGCCCACCTCTCATCCAGCCCCCTCCTCAAGCTCCCCATGAGAAGTGCATCTCTCCCCCCAGCCCTGCAGGCTCACGGGGGCCATACACAGCACCCACCCCTGGAAACAGCCCAAATCTTCCCTCCCCGGGCTGTGCTCAGTCCCCTCCCTGCTGTGACTCAGAGAAATGCTCATTTCAGTCCTTACAGGACCCCCCCTCTCCATCCCACATTGCTGATCAGCATCCTCTCATTAATTTAATATTCCCACTTCCCATTAATATTGATGGGGTCGCAGGGGGCTCTTTCTTTCCCCTGCAGAAAATCTTGCCGCTGTTCTCTGACCGCCGCTCCCGAAGCAACTGGAGAAGCTCGCCCCATGGTTCAGATTTCACCAGCACATAGGCGGCCTGGGTATTTTGATTTGGTTGCTGTCTGCAGTTTTCTAAGCCATCCAGTTTATTTAATTCATAATTCAATTTCCTTGAACATGTTGTTTACTCCAGTCTGTAATAACCTCCTACTCGCTGTTTTTAAGCAAAGCCTTCACACCTGAGCTGCAGTTATCCAAGGTAGTTATGGCCTATCAGAGGACATTTTCCTTCCTCCCTTAATTTTCTCAGCAATATTCGCTTTATTATATGTGCTAGAATTTAATAGCCCCCTGTACTGAGACAGATCCTTCCTCAGGAAGACCTCAGAGCACTTACAGATAATAACACAGACCATTGCAGAGCAAAATCCTGCTGAAGCCCAGTGCCAAGCTGCCCCCATCGGGGGCTCAGCACAGAGCACACCCAGGGCAAAAGCCAGGCAAGACTCCACCTGCAGCACACTGAGCACTTCTTCCCAGATTATTGCCTTCCTCTGTCCTCCAGGACTGGCATGTGGGCACTCAGGGTCCCCACGACACCCCACCAGCCCGCCCTGACCTCCTACACCCACCCTGCCGACTGACTTTTTGCACCCAGGGGAGCTCCCCACTGCTGGGCTTCCTTTAAACACTGCAAGAAAACACAACAGGTTGTGGTTCATCCCAAAAAGCACAGCTGCCCACCCTGGGGAGTGCAACGGGGCGAGGGATGCTCCTGGCCCCCAGGCTTTGTGGCTCTGCCCGAAGACAAACACGCTGCCTTCAGAAAGGGGACGTGGGGGGCCGGCAGCAGCACGGCATGGGCGTGCAGAGCTGAGTTAAAGGCTTGCTGGGAAAGGAAACAAATAAGGGGAACAAATAATATTTAGCAGGCCCTCAGTCGCCTTCCCCTCTTGCTGGGAGGCAGCGGCTCTCGCTGGCAGAGGAGCAGCAGCAGGAGGGGGCTGAATTGGAAGGGGTTTGGGGGCTCTGACCCCTTCCCATGGCTGGGGGGCCCACGATCAAGCAGTCCTTGGCCCTGCCGCTGCCTCCTGGCCCCAGGGGCCACAGGGGAAGTGGCTCTGTAAAGATTGCTCCGTCATTACATTACACAAAGGCCTTCTGGAGCTCTCGGGGTAAAGCACAAGCACACGCAGCAAGACAGCGCGTTTTCTGGAAATTGCAGGGGGAAAACAAGAGTGGGAGGTCCTGGGCATGTTGTGAGAAGCACTCGGTGTTTGTGCAGAGAGGGAGATGCTCAGGGGCTGGGGAATTTTACCCCTTCGTTCTCACTCACCAAACACAATGAAATTTAGCCGAAAACACCTTGCGACTGATACCAGAGCAAAACGAGACCATTATATTTCTTCTCTTTCAAGCAAGCCCAGGCACACTGCTGGCACTTTCTGCACCAAGCCCTTCAGCTCTCTCCCCAGGCCTGTCCAGAACACTGGTGTCTGGTCATGGTACAAAAGCATCGAGCGATGGCCAGCCTGCCAGCGCTGGAGAAAAGCTGCTCCAATGACAAGTTTCTCACACTTAACGCTTATTTTTAGTCTGAATTCCTCTCATTTCAGCCTCCTGCTAGTGGATCACGCTGTGCATCTCCCTCCATAATCACATCAGGAAGTCCCTGGTGTTATCTCACTGAAATAAACAATTGATAAAATTACCACAAGGCTCCTTGTGAAGGGCAGAGCGAGCAAATGTGGAAGTGGTGAAAAACCCCAAGGCCCCCCTTTCTGTTAAACCACAGCCTGAACTATGAAAAACGTAGGAAGTTTCTGGAGCTCCAAAAATGCAGTCAGGGAGGGGGAAAAAGATTTGGGTTTAGTAATTGGCTAGCATACTAACACAAAAATACTAAATGTTATGCAACATTTAGCAACAAATATATATGAGGTTGCTTTTTTTTTTTTTTCTTTTTTTTTGGGGGGGGAGGGGGAGATCTTAATTTTGGGACATACAGTTCAAAATCAATTTTCTCTCTGGTGGTTTTGCTGTTATCTGCTTGTATGTCAGCAGAATTGGATTCCAATATGCAAAAGTTCTGGTTAGCAGGTTCTCTGCATGGTCTGCTCTTCCTATACATCAAATATTTTGCATCTGATGTTTTAATTACAAACGTTTTATAAAGTGGGAAGATGAAGGTGCGAGAAGATTTAGGGAGTTTCAGACTTTATGGCCAGCAGAGACCATTATCAATCAGCTCTCCTGTGCAGGATTTCACACTTCTGTCCAAGGTCGTTGGGCAGGTGATAAGCAATGATTTCCACACACTGACACTTCATCGCATCTCAGCTCCTTCTCCCCTAGTAGAACCTGCTAAATAATTCATCCCCTCTTTTGACATATGCTTTCATATACTTTTAAGCAGTTACCCTTTTGTCCCCTTGTGCATCATTTGCCCTTCGCTTAAGCCTCCCCTTAAGACTCCTTATCACAAGGCTCAGATCGAAGAGCTTATTTTGCTTATTTTTTATTTCCCACCTCCAGCACCCCTTCCCAGGAACTGCAGAACCTTGCCTTTTTCCAGGACTGCGGGTAAACAACCACAGCCTGCTGCCTTGTGGGCACAAATCAATTATCATCGACTTGGCCCAGGCTCGTGCTGCCCTTGCACAGTGCACACGCGGGGCACTAACCCTCACCTTCCCTCCCTGATGGGGGAACAAAGGAGAAACCACAAGCTGTGCTACCTGGCTTGGTAAGACAAATAAATCACAGTATATGAAGGCAACCACAGCTACTGAATCCACCTTTTCTTCCCCAGAAGCAAAGCATTGGTCAGGGAATGATGGCATCCGTGGTGTGTCGGGGAGGGGGGAGCAGAGCTCGTGTGCTGAGGGGTCACAGCACAACCACATCCACCCGTGCGGTGTTTTCCAGGCTGGAAGGAAGCCGTGCTTCCAAAGGTCAGGCTGTAACTGGGACAGAGCAGCAGCAGACCATGCCGTGCCCAGAGGGGTTCAGTGCTGTCCCCTGGGGGACGCAGCCACAAAGACCACGGGGCTTTGAGTAATCTGGGGAGCACCACTCGAAAATGGCATCTCGGTGCAGAAAGCCCTCATACAACATCAATACAAAGGGAGCCACACACACAGTGCTACCACTGGCCTGTCCTCATGCTCCTGGGTGTTTTGGAAAAGCCCCTTCCAACCATGCTGCACCTTCCCAGAAAGGAAGGGCTGTCCTACCCACCTCCTCCCCACGAGCAAGGGGAGACAGCACGAGGGAAGCCAGCACTGCAAAATTAGGCTTTCCAGCCACTGCTCAGGCACACAGCTGGCCAGAGAGCGAGTGCCAGAAAGCTGAGCAGGAGCTCTGAGCACTGCACACATGACACAAAGCAGACCACCTTCAGCTGCAAAGCGGAAACTGGCGCTTAGTTCCCCAGATGGGACGCCCTATGTCAAGCTGGATCACCCGGAGCCGCGCCGCACCAGTGGCACCAGCAAGGCCAGGGGTGCCCAGCAGCCCTGGCACACCCCCACCCCAGGGACCCTCCTGTGCTCCTCACATCAGGCAGGGCAGGGTCAGCTGGAGATGCCCCTGCTTGCAAAATTAATACCGAAGGCAGCAGCGGGGTGAGAGCAGGAAGAGTTAACAGGGTTACGAGGGGTTTTGCTGGCCTATTTTCCAGGCAGGCACCCTTTAATCTCCTTTGGAAACACCTTCGCACAAAGGCTGGTACAGCAGCTCAGCTGGAGCCAGGATTTAACGTGGAAGAACTTGTCCCAAAGAGATTAACAGCAGCGGTCGGGTGCCGACCCTCTGTTTCTGCAGGCAGGAATTTCTCGATGGGGACGGGGAGGCGAGGAGGGCAGCCAGGCCCCAGGGGTGCACAGAGCCATCCTCCTCCTCTTCCTCCTCCTCCTCCCCACGTGCCACAGTGCTGCAGCAGCACAGGGGTCTCCTCAAGAAACAGGGGGTTCAGCTGGAACTGCTCTCACAGGGGGGTTAATCTGCCACCTCTGCCCATGCCCCTGGGTAGTTCAGACCCAGCTCAGGCTAGAAAATACAGGAAGGGGAGAGGTGAAGGCTGAGGGTGAGAGAGCATGGGGACCCACATTATCTACCCATATCTCAGCTCTGCCTTATGCCCAGCAGGGTGAAAGAGGAGACAGACAGAATAAACTGGAAGAAAGAGAGCAAGAAGGCGTTGGTTAGGCATCGGAACGGGTTGCCCAGGGAGGTGGTGGAGTCACCGTCCCTGGGGGTGTTCAAGGAGAGGTTGGACATAGTGCTTGGGGACATGGTTAGTGGGTGACATTGGTGGTTGTCCCTGATGATCCTGGAGGTCTTTTCCAACCTTAATGATTGATTCTATGAAAAGGAAAAAGAGGTGAAGAGGACAGCCCCAGGCATCCATGCAAGCACAGCTCAGCCATTTGGCTCCCCACTGTCCTTACCTGGGGGTCCCCGAGGCGACTGAGGTCTGGATAAAGGTAAAAGAGGATTCCCTGGGATGCCCCGGGCAGGGTGACTCCCCGGATCAGCAGAACCACCAGCATGAGGTACGGGAACGTGGCCGTGAAATACACCACCTGGGAGGAGGACGAGAGGACAGGTGTGAGCGCACCAAGCACCTTGCTTTAGCCTACGGTGGGAAGAAATACATTTTTGAATGTGCCCAGGAAACCTGGGTCGTGGCATGGTGCTCCTGGAGCCAGAAAAGACCTTTCTAGTCCTAGGAGAGACACAGAACGTGAGCTAGGCTATCAGCAGCCTGTCACCGGAGCAGCTCCACTGAAGGCAGCAGCAATCCCTGTGTGCATCTGCAAAGGACCTGCACGCCCCCACCCTGATTACAGGGCTGAGTCACACGCACAGAACATAAACGTAACCTCCCGTTTGGGGACAAATGAGGTGTTTTCAGGACTACTCAGGCTAATTGCTGTAGTGTGCTACAACACCGCACTGCGGCCTGCTTCCCACACAGTTAAAACCAAAGCTGAGGGCTGGTGTGGCCTCACCAGCAATTTGGGTAGGGTCATTAATGCCTCTGCATGGCCACCACACCTTCAAGACTGATTGACCACCGTGCAAACACTTGTTCAGTTTGTTGTATCACACTGGGGCAGCAAAGAAATGCTGCTCCTTCCGTTTTTTCCTGTGTGGATGTGCAGAGCAAGGTTTTGCCTTCGCCTTAATGCTACCCAACAGCTCTTTTCTCAGCTTTGGCAGTTACGCACCAAAGAGCTAAAGCACATCTCTAGAGGAGCTGCAATGTGTGATGCTGTGAAATGATCTGTTCCTCATGCCTGCCCATCCATCCAGAACAAGCCGTTCCCAAATCCACCTAAAGCCCACCATCCCTTAGTGGTGGTGGCAGTCTATCACTGCCACAGCAGTTTCTGCAGCAGCAGAGGCACTGCCAGCAATGGGAGGGTGATCTGCCTGGACAACACGATTAGGATTATCCTGGATAATCCTCTTGGATCCAAATGGTGAATCAAAAAGAGATTCTTCTGGACCCACCCTGATATACTCCATCTGAGTAAAGCATCCAAAGCACCTGACACTGCAATGGGTCTAAGCTGAGATACAGACCTGGTGACTCTGTGATGTGGAAGGACAGAAGGATTTGAGAGATCCCACCCTTGAAAAAACAAACTACTAGGTTATCACCTCAGCCTACAGCCCCAATATCTCCATGCACTTCATGTGTCTTGCTGCATATATCACAGCAGTCTTGGGGAATGCCACGGAGAGAGGTGAAAAACACCTCCTTGCTTGGGCTCATGATTGCCTGAGACATCTGTGTGAGCAGCTCCATCCCTGTCCTTCTGAATCTGCATCCTGGACATTGAAGGAGCCCAGGGACATCATCCTTCAACACCAGCAAATGCCTTTACTCATTTCAATCTCAAAGTTTCAAGAAGACTCTGATTTAGAGCTTCTCAGTGACAGTTAATCAAATCTACAGGTCCTGAGAGTTTAACAGTCATCCCTGTACTTGCCACACAACCGAATTATTGCTTTGGGATATGGCAGGATGAAAGTCTAATCTTTCTCAGCTTGTGAAAGCAAGATTAAAAGCAAAAATCTTAAAGACAACCCACTGACTTTGAACCTTCGTGCATATTCCTCCAGGATGGCAGGCTGCACATTCTCAGATGGATCTCTACATTGCAGCAGTTTCAGGGGCTCTGTGTACAACCTGGTTGTTCTCTGGTGCACGGTTCAGACCTTGGTAATGCCCCGTGTGCCTACAAGAACTCATGTGTTAAGCTCTTTACCCAACAGTCACTCACATCTGCAGAGACCAGCATCCTGAATTTGGAGAATGTTTTCTTGGATGGAGAGTGCCAAACTTCTATCTAACAACACGAACATCTGGATCCAATGAGATATTACTCAATGCTTGGCTCAGACCCAATCTTTTTATTTCTCGGGCATTGTTAGCACTAGCTACATCACCAGGAACCTTGCCGGGATCAGTGTGATCATTCTGTCACATGCTGGTCAGCAACATCCAGGGTTTTATTTGAACCTGATCCACATGCCTCGGCAAAGTGATTCCATCTGTGACAACCTCCTGCATCTGCGAGCGCTCCCCAGGGACAGGCAGTCCCTGCATCCGAGGATGCAAACCGCTGCAGGACTGTTCTGTCCAGGGCAATGTCAGTTCAGGGGCTGATAGACCAGTGGGCAGTGATTCTCCACTATAAGAAGAAGGGTTCTGCTTTCCAGGTGGTAAGATCTCATCATCGTTTGTCCTTTTAGCTAAGAAGCGCCTGCATTTTACATAGAACTTGTATCTAAAATAGATTGAATTTGTTCTCAGCACTTCCCACACTATGTTTGCTGTATCTTAGTATCATATTTGCTGTTATTATACTGCCTCTGCTTTCTTTTACTAGGCCACCACAGCAAGCAGTTGCTCTTTTCTTCTAATTTTACTCCATGGAAACCAGAAAACATCATCTCTGCAAGCTGCTTGATTTCCCCTTCATGTTTCATAATTCCAGACCATTCTGGAAGTAGGAGAAACTGCTAACATCCATGCCATCATCACACCAACCCTTCCTAGGAGAATTTGGAGAAATATCTCTGTGGTGACCAGAGTGCATGAAAAAAGGAGACTCTTGCTGGGGAATATGAGCAAGTATAGCAAGAGTTGGGACCAACAAAAAGACAAAAAGAAGATCCCCATGATGCTGAGGCAGAGAGGGCTTTGAGATCACCAATGTTACTTTCATAACTATCTAATGAATTTGAAGATTTTCCATCTGCACCTGCCAGCAGAGGCAAAAACCACACGGCTTGTTCATGCTGTGACAGAAGGGAAGGGAAAGTGCAGCCATCCACTATGCAGAAAGACAGCAAGTTCTCCTGGGCCTCAGATGGAGAGGGACCAGGTGGAAGGTAATCTTGGGAGGCTCTGAGAAGCCTCCCACCTCTGTCTAGCACTCCCATCCTTTCTAGCACAGAGCCTGGTGCTGCACAGTGAGCACTGCAGGGTCCTGCTGCCTCAGAAAAGCATTTCCAGGACACAAGAAGCAGGCGGGCCAAACACCCCAGCTGTGCTCAAAGGAGGAGCTCAACGTGAGCCAAGTACTCACCTTGCCTGTGGACTTGACCCCTTTCCAGATGCAGAAGTAGCAGATGATCCACGCCAGCAGCAGACACAGAGCCAGCTCCCAGCGCAGGCTGCCCACATGCTGGATGCCATCGGAAATCTTCAGCACTCTCCTCCTGCACAGAGGGAAGGAAAACAGCACCTGAGTGTCACCAGAGATGGCCACCAGTGTTCCCAGCACCGTATCTCACTCACCCCACCACCAGAGCACCTGACAGCTCAGGGGAGGAGGGATGTTTTACAAACAAGGCCCAGCTCTGAGCTGCAAGCCACAGAGGTGTCAAACAGCACCCCACACGCAGACTGCTACTGCAGTACCACCAGCCTGATTCTGCACTTACTCCCACGCTGGCCTGTTGGGTTAGACATTTCTACTCCCTTTATCTGAGAGTGATACCATAGTGCAGTCCCGAACCTGAGACAGGCAGAGAGGGACGTGCTGGAGCCCCAGCAGCTGCAGATGGAGCATGCTCACAAGCCTACCCCGCTGTAAAAGGCTGAAACTATCCCAAAATAAAGGCTACGTTCCTGGAGAACCACAGTCTAAGATGGATTGAGAGGGTAAGAAGGGGATCGCAAGAAATCATGCTGTTCCTCTGAGCATTTTGTTGTTATCTTGCTCTTTCCCTGCTTCTAAGCACGTGGACTATGTAACCTTTGGGGAAGGATGCTAACAGACCATAACTAACTGGACACTGTACCGCAGCCAGAAGCATGCCATCACCCCAGTGGCAGGTCAGTGCATCTCAGGGAAACCCTTGCCTCCTCCACCCCTGCCCAAGGAGGGCAGGAACGGACGCTGCATCAAAAGGGACAGACAGTGGAAATTTCCAGTCCCATGTGCTGGTTCCCCAGAAACATGGGGATGCTCACAGGACACCAGTTTTCCAGCTGCCCATCTCAGGAGGAGCAGTCTGAGGCAGGCCAGCATCTAACTGCATGCGAGCAGGTTGAAAGAAAAAATACAAGTGCACTGTAGGAGAAAAGAAAAATCCCATCTATGGAAGGAATTACCATAAGCTCATTAGGAGCAGTGTATGTACCCAGCGCCTTGCAGTCTGTAACAATCACTGCTCATGGGCAGATGCAAGAACAGAGCTTTGCCCTGTGCTGCCCCAGGGATGCCGCGGTGTGCAGAGCCCTCTGCCAGCCCCAGCTCACGAGGGAAATTCGTGGTGGCAGCAGAGGCTGCCTTCTTGGTCTGTCAGCCAGGACTCGGAGCTGGGCAGTGCCCATTGTCCCAGGAGATGCTGAGCATCATCAGAAATCGCACACCTGCAGCCTGTGCCGTTGTGCCAAAAATCAAACTACTTTGTACTTTGGGCTAACCAATGCACAAAGGAAAAAGACAACGAAAAGGAGGGAGTGAATATCACCATGATGTGAGCTGAACCCAGAACTCAAATTTGATTTCGGTGAGCTTCTCCCCTCAGTATAGCTATCATATTAGTCACTGAAGTAAAAGCATCACCTCTTTTTCTATTTTTGAGATGAAGATAAGCCTGCATACAAAAGTCACCATCCACCATGACACAGCCTCCTGGGAACATGCTGGTACCACACAGGAGCACAGATCCAAGGGAAGGAGATCACCCACTGCATCACCAGCATGGCTCCTGCAATACTTCACAGGGTTTTAAGGTCTCCTTTTCAACAGGTAAACACTCTAAAGCTTACAAAGCACACAAAGACCCAACAGAGAGCTGTTTCATGGTGGATCACCACAGATTGCACCACGCTCACAGATGTGTTCTTGTGTCCTGAGCATGGTTACAGTGGATGTAGCCACCAGGCAGGTCAAGGGCTGCACACACAGAGTGCTCTAGACAGAACGAGAGCAGTGGATAATCCAGTAGACACATAAACCATACCCAAGCCATAGGGCAATGGTCACCATATCCTGAGGTAGTGACTCTAATTTTAATGAGGTTTGTACCCTGGGTAAGCCTGATCCACGGTTTGGGGATGGGGAACACGAAGCAATTCACCTACACGGCAGGAGGAAATATCTGTACAAGGGAGTTCACGGGTGGAATTGAGGAACATGAGAGGAAGCAGAGGGAGAAGCAGCACAAACAGAGGAGGAATAAGGGAGAAGAAGAAATGTCAAGGCCCAGAGGAAGTAAAGCAACAGTGAGGCAAAGTTTTGTACAGAGTCAGCTGGCCATCACCAAGGCCTGTGAGAATGAGGAGCCCAAAAAGGCCAGGGGATAGCAATAAGGCATAAGGGCAGGACAAGTCAGCTGAGGCATGCCAGCACAGCCCCAGACAAGCACCACGAGCCCAGCAGCATCACACCTTACTGACGGAGCTCCCCTGAGAGCTTTTGCCCTGACTGCCCAGCGTGCTCTCTCCTGGCCTCTTCTGACCTGCGCGGATTAATGGGAACCACCAGCACGGTCGGTTCATTGCCCGGGGGAGGCACGTCTCAGAGGGAAGAGGAGTACAGGCCGTGCTTTACTTACTCCCAGAACTCGATGACCGGCGAGGTGGCGTTTTCGCGGGTCACGTTGAGGGTCGAGTTTGCCCTCTGGAGCTCCATGCAGTTCCCTGCGGGAGAGGCCCGGGGAGAGAGGGGGCGTGAGTAGCAGTGACTGGAGAACCGGAGGAAACCGCTCCCTGTCCATCCACAGGGTCAACACCCAGTGACATTGACTCAGAGACAAATTTTGTACAGTCCCACTGATGCACCAAAGGAGTCCCCTCCAGGGCAAGAAACCTAGGACAATTAAGAAGATGACATTTAATTTTTCCTTCCAGCAGGCATGGTAAGCCATCCCTGGGTTTGTAGCTCACGCACAGCACAGAATGATGGATGGAAGGAAGGAGGACGACACCCTCGGTGGCTGCAGCCTCATCCCCAAAATCACCATCAGGACTGTGGTCACTGGGGGCTCCCCACCCCTACAGGCAGCGGTGCGACCCGAGCTGGGGTTTCATGGGCTCAGCAGTGCCTGGACACAGGGGAGCAGCAGGGCCTCCGCACCCACCTGTGTTCCACTCGTGGTTGCAGCTGCCCCAGGGGAGGTCGATGGTGAAGGAGCTGAAGAGATAGAACAGGGCCCAGGCCAGCACGACGATATAGTAGAAGTTCAGAAGCACTACGATGACCTGCGAGGCGTAGCCAATTCCTGCGGAGAGGAGGCCCCCAGAGGGGGTGAACCACTTGTTGAGGACCAGGTTTCACCAAGGGGTCAGCACCTGGCCCCCTGGCCTGTCCCCCACTGTGCTCACTCAGAGCTTCGTCTCTGCTCTGCATGGTGAGTGCTGCTGGAGGAACACCACATCAACCACCCGAGGTGTCAGTCCCCCCCAAAATCCCACTGCCTATACAGGCTCTTTAACCCAACCTGCACCAGCAGATGGGCTTGGAGGGCAGCTGAGGTGGGATGAATACACAAAACCACTGGCTGGTAGGCAGCTCCTGGGGCCTTAATCTACAAGGTTTTGGTACAGGGAATTCAGGCAACTGGGACTTTTTAGTGCTGAGAAATCATGGAAAGTGACTTGAGAGTGGATGATTGTGCTGAAATAGTGGTAGAAGTGGATCTGACAGTCAATGACAGCTAACAGCTTTCACCACTAACGTTTTAAGCCCTCCACAAACTCAGGGAAATGACATAGCATCGACTAAGAAAGATAACAATATATTTCAGGTTCTGCATAACTGCCAGGAGCATTTTCATCATTAGATCTTGGAGGAATTTTTATTGGGTGCAAAGCTCCCAGCCAGAGCCTGACATGAAGAAGGAAGCTGGGATCAACTTTTCTGGCTTAATTTTGGGAAGGGCTGGGATTCACAAGGATGGGCAGAAGATGAGCACAGACCCACGGGTCCCAGGGTTCCCTCAATCTCACCCCACTCACCTTCAAAGAGGGGACAAATCCTGCGCCAGGCCGTCACCCCTCCCTGGCTGGTGTACTGCCCCAGCGCCGTCTCCAGGAAGAAGACGGGGATCCCGCAGGTGAAGAGGAAGATGAGGTAGGGGATGAAGAAGGCACCTGGCAGATTCAAGCAGCATACAAGAGAAATAAGGCCTGGATGCCAACACCAAGACAAAATGTGTCAGGCGTTTGGTTACTCCAGGGTTAGTGTTCAATGCAGTAACAGCTTTCACCCTGCAGGGCCTGAGGGACATCCCCACGAGCTGCTTGATGATCCCAGGTTCATTAATACCCCATGGAAATTGCTCAAGCCTTGCCTTTCCCTCACTTAGTCCTTTTCCAAGACAGTGAGATATTAACTGGCTCTTGGGTCAGGCTGGTGGGAGTACAGGAGAAATAACAATTCTGGAGCAGAAGTAAACTCAAAACCCAAGATTTTTTGTTAAGAAGCTTGGCTGGTATGGATGAATGTGGAGAAGGCTCTTTGGGGCCAGGCAGAAGTCCCACCCTGTGCTCACCCCATCAGCAAACAGGGCCACGGCCCTCCCCTTCTGCAAAAAAAGTGACCCAAAAAGTGCACAGAGAGCTTCCTGGCAGCACCATAAAAGCGGTGCCTTTTTCCCAGAGGGACGTGGTGGGACGTTGTGGCAGGGACCCCAATGCCCGTGGGAGGTGTGCCGCGTGTCGCCCCAGCCCCTTCCCCTTCCCCTGCGGCGCCAGCAGCCACACCACCAGACAGGCTTCCCCAGTATTTCCCAATCGGCCGGGCCAGCCTGCCCAGGGAAGGCCTGACCCTGTCATGGGAGGCGAAAGCAAGCACGAACGAGAGTGAAAATAACTTTTTTTTTACTGTTTGTTGTTGTTTTTTTTTTTTTTTTTTTTTTTTCCCACCACTATACAGGACCTTGGTATCTCACACTGAGTACTAAATATGTAAGACTCTTTGCTGTATGGAAATATCCCTCAAGAAAGACAAGGTGACAGGCTGCCCCTATTTACATAACTCAGATTTTGCAGATCTCTTTTGTGGAGAGCCCGGCGCATTGAGCCAAGCGAAGCACAAGCTGAGGAGAGTTATCACCACTGCCTGCAAACGCTTCAGCAAAAGTCACTGGGAGCTGCATGGTAACACTGGTGACAGGCTGGCCACAGCTGCCCTGAACCTGGAAATTAAATAAAGACCCCTCACTTTTATTTAAGCACCAGAGAAGCAAGTGGCTAGACCAGCCTTCCCCAAGGAGCACAGAACCAAACCAGGTTTTAAAAACCTGGCAGCCTTTAAAATCAATCTCGATGCACTATGAGGGATCTGGTGCCAGGACGGGGCTGGGCTCTGGAGGCAGGGCAGAGCCCCTGCTGCTGCCTGGCCTCACTTCACCTCACTGCCCCAAGAACCGCTGCCCTCTGTGCCCCAGTCTCGTGCATCCTTCCCCTGCCTCGCAGGATGAAAACTTTGCCCGAGACTTCAAACTCCTCGGTGCCTCTGCCACTTCACGGCGCTTTGCTTCAGGCCCATTTTGAGGGGAAAAAAAAGGCTGAGAAACCTCTTTTCTGTCCAAGCAGTCCCGAGCTGCCTTTCAAAAGGGAATGAAATTCCCAAGCACCTGGTGAAAAGCAACATGCACCAGGCAAAGCACAGCGTGAAAGTAGCTAAACAGCGGCTAATCCTCTTTTATGCCACCGGGATGAAAGCAGTTTAGTGAGGCCCATGAGACTGCCCCCAGCTAACGCCAGGGGATTTCAGCCCTGGTCCCCAGTGCCCGCAAGCTCCCAGCCAAGTGCCGCTTCCCCCAGCCCTGCCCTTCCGGAGAGCCCAATTAGCAATTAATCACCAAATGGGGAGAGCAGCTCCCTCCCCACCTGCCACTGAACTGAGCTTGAGAAAAACTTTGGGCTTTCATTTTTCTCCTCTAAAAGGCTACCTCAAGCTAAAAGAAAATGTGCACTGGGGCTGGGCAGGGATGTCACTGGGGAGATGCTGGTGGCACCAGGGCCGCACTCACCTCCGCCGTTCTTGTAGCAGAGGTAGGGGAAGCGCCAGACGTTTCCCAGGCCGATGATCTCCCCAGCCACCGACAGGACGTACTCCAGCTTGTTGTTCCACTGCCCTCGCTCCAGGGTCTGGTCCTTCTCCTCTTCCTTCTCCTTTTCCACACCAGGCCGCGCGGGCACCGTTTCGCCATTGCTAACGGCGCCAGGGACTCTGTAATCCATCCCACCTTCAGGAGGAGTTTCCTTTGTTACGCTCACAACAAGCCATGCAACGAGGCCAAAACCCGAGCTATGGAAGGCCAGAGAGGGGAGAGGACACGCGCAGGCACCCACGTGCCGAACCCTTACTCGGCTGTTTGTAATGATTCCTGCTGGAAGGAGGGCACCAAGGCCACGTGTGAGCTTTGGCTGTGCCAGTCCTTAAAAAGCCACTGCCAGTTTCATTATTTTTAATTGACCCATCTCAAAACACTTGTGGAAGCACATCCTTCTACAGAAGCTCCCACTGCAGCACGCACCGGGAAACAGCGTTGGGGCTGGAGTGGGGTGAGAGGAGGGATTAAATACATAAAGAGATGTTTTATAAGCACTTCTCTCACCTGTTGCTGTTTACTAAGGTCTGGTGTTACAGACCGTATGGTGGAAGCTGGAAAGGACACAAAAGTCTTAGATACGGGAAAGGGGCAAACTGAAATAGGAGGGAAAGAAGCTTTTGCTGTCAGTGGTGGCAGCTGTTAGGAGCAATCTCCCCGGCTCTGCGGCTGCCATTTAGGAGGCTGGGGGTGTTTGGGCCTGTTCCTTGCGGGCAGGATGCCCTCCTGCCTGCAGAGCCCTGGGGGCAAAGGGCGACCCAACCAAACCCCATCCCACAGCTGGGAGCGCCGAAGACCCTCGTGCCCCGGAGGGAGCCTTCCTCTGCGTGGTGACCCTCGCACTCTGAGCTTGAGCCCATCGAGCTCAGCCTACGGTGGGAAACTTTGGCCATTCATTCACGCCAGGAGAGCAGGAAAAGGCACTGGCAGCAAAGGACACTCTTCCCCCATCCGGGGAGGGGAAAAAAAAGAAAAACAGGCAAAGCAGCACTTTGACCCCCTCCCTCCCTCCCTCCCTGCCCCTGCGTAGCCCCCTGCAAAGCCCTCGGGGAGGTGGAGAGGAGCAAGAAGCACTGGCAGGAGTTTGACAGCAGCGGCTGGGGAGGATCGGGAGGAACCGTGGGTGCTGGAAAATGATTAAACGAGCAGAAAGCGCGCGGTGACCTCTCATCCAGCGCGGGCCCAGGGGTGGGCGCGGGGGGCGGGTGGGCGCGCAGCGGTTACCTGGCGGACGGGGCCGGCGGGGCGCGAGCTGGCGGGAGAGGCGAAGGCAGGACCCAAAGGTGCTGGCGATTTAAAGCGTGGAAAGGGAAAAAATTCAGCCCTGGTGTAATCCTAGACTTCGCCCAACCCACATTCCTTCCCCCACCCCCCAGGGCCGGACAAAAACCTACACATGACTGATTTCATGGCCAGGGCGAAGGGGCTCTTTCCCCCTGCCTGCCCGCAGCTCTTGCTGGGGCCGCCCGTCCCTCGCCCTCCCTGCCGGCCAGTGGCTTTTTGGCTGCTGCAGGGTCACACGTGGCCGTGCTGCTCCTCATTGCTGGCCACAGAAGCACGGGAGCACCCAAGGGAGCCAAAACCAGGGGCTGAGGTAAGAGCCAAAACCCCATTTAACGGGGTCTCTCCTGGGAGAAGGGGACGTGGGCAGGGGGCAGTGCCCAGCCGCACATTGCCCCAGCAGCCAGAGCCAAGCAGCAGCTGGAAAACCACGCACGAGGATAAAAACCAGCCCCGGTGGCGCACAGGGCTGCAACATCAGCAGGAAGGAGGTCTTGGTACCGCTGCCGGTCGTTATCTGAAGGCATTACGGCCGTGCTTGGGGGCCATAAATAAGGCAAACAGAGCTGGATTTTGTTCACAGAAGGCATGCTACAGCTGTGATGGTCCAAGGATGTAAGTGAGACACGGCTTTAAAATATTTTTATTACATCTGCTGCTGAATATCTGGGGCAAGAGAGGAAAAAAGTATCATCTTTTTGGGTTCAGAGTCAGGCCTGCAAAGCAGCAGCAGAGCCTGGGCTGTAGGCGTGTAGAGTTACTAGGGATAGGAGAGGAATAGTGCAGCCACACCACACTAATCTATGGTGGGCCCACATCCACACGGTGCTGGACTTCCCACGGGAAGAAACAGGGAAAGGGAACAAGGAACAGGACTGGATCCAGCCAAGGGGTGAGCACATACACCACAACTCCTCATCACGGGGAGAGAAGGATGAGATAGGGAGGGAGGCAACGGGGGTCTAGGAAACAAGGCCATGGTAGAGGAGGTGGATGCATCACTCACTACATCTCATAGCGCAGCAACTTACGGCACCAGATGAAATTCAGAGTTAAAACAAAAGGACACACTTCTCCACACAGAAACACACGTACACTGCATAATGGATAAATGCAGTACCCATGGCCCTTGCCACAGGCACAGGACTCTGCTGCTGCAGTGATTCAAGCAGATGGGCCAAATAAAAAAACAGCTCCAGTCCTCAAGCCAGAGGTTGCTGGAAAACGGGGAAAACACTGCAGAGGGGAGTTAATGCTGGAGGGAGAGGATGGGAGAACATCCATGGAAAGGAAGCCGTCTGCCAGTCAATAGCATAGCTGTTAAACAGCAAGGGTAAGGCTACGTGGATTAAAAAATGAAAGCAAAGCCAAATAATGCCTTGCCTTGTGCAACAGATTTGCATAAAAAAGAGAGGAAAGTGGAGTAAGGGAACATGTTTCAAACCTCTAGTAGGCACCAGCATCACTGCACAAATATCCCTGGATAACAGTGATAACTACAGTGCACCACTGACAATGTTCTTATCAACAATTCAAACAGAAAACAAACTAATTAGCAGGCACTAATGGACTATGATAGGAAACGGTGTAATCAGTAAGAAACTATTTAACTTCTGCCTGGTCAGATAGGACTGCGCTGAAAGCAACAATAAGTTTAAAAAGAAAACGAGTGTTCAGCAGAAACATAAGCAGCCAGGAGAAGTGCTAAATCTATGAGTGTAAAAGAAAGCCAGAAAATCCTGAATAAAGTGAATTTAAGTAAAATCTCCCTTTACAAGTCTTCTGCAGAGAAACAGGAAAAAGTCTGTATGGTTGTGGGAGATGTTACTTGAGAGAGCTGAGAGCTTACAAAATAATTGTATCTTTTTACCGAAGATGAGAAGAGGACCAACACATATCACAAAGGATCGTTTAAGACTACAGAAAAAGATGAGTTCAATACACATTTTTAAAATTGCAGAAGGCAGAGAAACTGGGGGAGGAGGTGGGGCTTTAATCAGCCTGTCGGAGGCGATGAAAATCCAAAGGGAAAAACGCAAAGGATGAAATCCATCTAGCTGTCTGAGATTCTGCACCCATACAGATATCTAAGCCAAAAGTGGAAGAACTAGGATAAGCAGCATTAAAAGCTTAGGAAATTTGCTAGAAACGAATAAGAGATAGGGAATGAAGTGAGCCTTTGAGGAGGGGACCGGCCTAGCTGAGGTGCACGCATTTCTGCAGCCGGCAGAGCACTGATGAGGGGACAAGAGGAGGGGAGATGGCTCCCAGCCCCCAGCCCACCAAAGGACCATCAGGAGAGCCCCACTGCTGCCCAGTTGTCCCCAAGGTGCAGGAGCTGCTGGCCCCATGGACATGCTGAGATCCCAAAGCGGGGGCCCCCGGCCCCACCTCCCCCTCTGCTTCCCCTCCACGTGGGGCCACTTTGCCCGGCACCCCAGCGCCCCGTAATCTCGAGAGCCACCCCCCTGCTTCCAGGAACACGATTTGCCGTTGTGTTATCTGGGAACCAAAGGCCAGAGCAAATACGATGCCTTTCCTCTATCTGATAACCACCGGGCCACCGGCCTCTTCAGCCTGGAAACGTTATGAGGCTGAAGTGGAAAGGGCTGTATAGAAAGCCCAGCTCGCATGAGTACGCACAGGATGGGGATAATAGAGGCTGATACTGCAGAGAAAGAAGCCGAAATAAGCACAAAGTATTGATTCCTGCTTCAGTCAGCTTCAAAGAAAGGTTCGTGTAGATTGAAATAGCCATGGCAGAAGCCAGAAGTCATCACAAAGAGCCTGTGGGTCCTTCGGTGAGGGAAAACACCACAGCAGCCCCAGAGAAATGCGGCTTCCCCAGAGGACACTTGCTCTGACAAGCAACCTGAGCGATCAGGGCCTCAAGGCAAGAAAACCCATGTCTGCACTGGGCACCTGCGGGGTGGTGGAGATAGGTGGCTCTGCGGGCAGCAGATAAAGGGGCAGAGCCCAGGGAGCAGCCCGAAGGCAGGACAGCACCGTGCATGTCCTTATAATATAACATGCAATATCAGCAAGAGCTGAGTAGCAAGCAAAGACTCCTGAGACTGGAGTGTTCATTCATTTTGGCATCTCCTTCCTTGCTGCCACCTCCAGCAGCTCCTTGGGGCTCGTCTCTTGCAGCTTGCCAGAGGCTGGGCAGCCTGAGCAGACACCCGCAGAGCAGCTGCAGGAGCAGAGCCCGAGTTGGGATCAGGGAGGGGATAGGAACCACGGCCCTCCTGAGTACTGGCCATCTACCTCCCGGTGTGGAAATGGGTATTGTGCATGGGAAAATAAAGCTCAGTGTAGGTCAGGGGGCAGAGAAGCTGGGTGTTGGTCTGGGGATGATGCACTCTCCTCTGCACACCTTACTCCTCTGAGGTGAAGGTTTTCAGTCTGACAGACTGCAGTAAGAACAAAATCAAAGCCATTGACAGGGCTGGGATGTTTAGATGCCCCTGCTCTCTGTCTGCCTGGAAGATGGATGCTCCGAGGGGAAAAGGGAAAGCTTTCCTCAGAGGTGAGACATGGTCGTACCTGCTTAACTGATTTTTTCAGAGAAAACCTACAACCTGGTTTTAAATAGGCAACGCTTGAGCAATGTTCACACATCATCCGTCCACACTTATATATATACTTTTTAAAAATATATATTTTTTAATTCAAGAGCTGTACAGGACCGGTAAGTACTCAGAATGCAAAGTTTCCATTCTGGGAGGAAATCCAGTGACCTGTCTCATTTTGTCCACAAGTGACGAATTTCTAAAAGGATTCTCAGACGTAAGTTTTCTAAGCAAGAGATGACAAAGCAGAAAACTTGGCGTTGCAAAGAGGTCAGTAGGAAATGAAGCTCTCACCCAGCTTTCCCAGCCTCAAATGTCAAATAGCCCCCAAAATCAAACACAGCCAATTTTGCGAAGGCCCCCGTGATGCCAGGGGGTATTACCTCTTCAAAACATCCTGAGCAGCCCCAGCCTCAGCAGGAGGGGAGCCAGGACAGAACTGCCTGGGCAAGGCAGCCCTGCGAGGCTGTGCAGAGCATCCCTGCAGGGTGCTGCTGCCCCTCAGAAGGGGCTTGAGCCTCTTGTCTGCTCCTGCAGATGCTGCCAGCCCCAAAGGGCCGGAGGGCCATCAGAGAAGAAGATGCAAGACTCCTGTGATGACATGCCCAGATGGGGAAAATAATTAAAAATATGGAGCCAACCAAACCTGGAATCTTGGTATTTACTGTAATTGGGATCCACGGGGAAAAGGAAGGCTGGTTTCTGATCCTATTTTCCCTGTAAGTTCAAACTGTGTAGCAGTGTCAGCACACACCCTACTGCTAGAGCAGGAGCTGTGGATTTACACCCTAACCAGGGGTTAGGGGTTAGCTTGTCCCCACCAGGGAGGGAAAGCAGCCGGGGAGGAGCACAGCTCGCCTGCAAAGGGAATCCAGCCCTATTTCCTTTGGCCTCAGCTCCCTTGGGATTTCTCGGGGCATAATGGGAAGGCCTGAGGGAAGAAAGCATGTGAAGGGATTGCTTCCAAACCGGAATCTGATCTGCTGGCTTCCTAAACTTGCCTTACTTACTCAGTAAGAGGAAAAAAAAAATGCTCCAAGTAGGGAACTTTGCTGCTGCCAGGTAGTCTCTTCATTATTTATTAATGTATTTTCTAGTTTCCAAACACCCCTAAATCCTGGGGTGCAAGGTCTAAGCAGACCATTCCAAGTGTGTTCCTACCAGAAGCCAGGGGCAACCAGTGCTCCTGTCTCTGACTCCTTGCGCACACATGCATGTCCAGAAACCGTGCAGGATCCTTTTAAAACACTCAATTGCATCTTCACTTAAAGCACAATAAACAGGGAGAACTCTCCTGAATCCCTTCATTTCTTCTGAGAACCACAATCCCCTTTCTTCTGCACCTACATTCCCTGAGATCAGGGTGTCAGTGACAGATTTGTTTAGATTCTTCCCTCCTTTGCCATCAGCAGGCTCTCTGTGCGTGTTCATTACCAGGGAAGTCCGTCCCCAGTCATTCCCATTTCTGGGGAATTCTATCCCGAGACCAGAATCTGCCCCTCGTGGC